AATGTTGAGAATGAATGAAAATGAGCAGAGACCCAAAACCCATCTGTAAAAATTAGGACACCCCCTTACAGAAGGGTCATGAGGAAGGGATGAGTCAACCAGGGTGCAGTATAGCACTGATGAAACACACACTATTCCTCTGGTTCTTTGAGGCTTCCTCACCGACCACTGTCAGGACCCCAGTGCTGCCTTTCAGTTCTGGCTAGACCCGAGCATGTACACTGGTACAGATAAGAGTTCACAATCATGAAATCCAGGTCAGATAACTCCTCTGGAACAGGAATGGGAGTAGCGATACCAGGAGGACTGGGAGATGGTAGGGGGAGGAGGGGAGGAAGGGGGAACCATTGCAATGATCAATGCATAATTCCCCTCCCCCCTCCAGGGGGTTGAACAACAGAAACATGGGTGAAGGGAGACAACGGTCAGTGTAAGATACGAAAACAATAATAATTAATAATGTATCAAAGGTCACGAAGGGGGAGAGGTGGGGAGGAAGAAAAAGAGGAGCTGATACCAAGGGCTCAAATAGAACGTAAATGTTTAGAAAATGATGACAGCAACATATGTACAAATAGGCTCGATACAACTGATGTACAGAATGTTATAAGAGCTATAAGAGCTCCCAATAAAATGACTTAAAAAAAAAAAAAAGAAAGAAAGCCCGTGGGAGGCGCATGCACTCTGGGCCTAATTAAAACCCGCTTGGCCTACAGTGCAGTCGGTGTAAGCCCTTCTTTACTACTGGTTTCTAGGGTGCTGCCTTGGCCCAGTGAAGGCCCTGGGGAATTATTTCCAGCAAGCTACTAGGAGATGGCTCAGTGCCTTTACTACCGTTGCCTGCAACTGTCACAGCATCTCAAGTAGGCCACTTGGCCGAACAGATGCAAAGAACCTGGGAGTTGAAAACTCAGATGGCTCTGGGGTGGCCCTGCTCCTAAGAACTAGAGCCTGGAGCCACTCTTTCAAATCCTGCCGTGTAAAACCGCTGACACAAAGAGTGACCAGGAGGCAGGATGATGATGAAGTAGTGTGTGTCTGCGGTGGGGTATCATTGGTTTTTCCTTAGAGGTGCTGTGAGTTAGGGATTGGGCTGCTAACCACAAGGTCAGTAGTTCTAACCCTCCAGCTGTCCCTTAGAAGATGAGCCATTTGCTCCCATAAAGATTTACAACCATGGATATCCTATATACGGTCACTGTGACTCAGAATCAACTCAATTATGGTGGGTTTGGGTTTTTCCGATCTAACAGAAAGAAAGAGTGTTGTCAATAATGATCTTCCAAGAAGCTTCCTGGGGAAGTGATGGAGCTGTCAGACCCGTTCTATTTAAAGCCCTGGCTTGGGGTTTGGAGTGAGCACCCCAGGGGTTTCCTAGACTGTCCTGTTAATTCTGGTGGTCCAGATACATGTAAGGACAGGACCCAGTTTCACTCTCCACTATGTCATCAGTTGGATACCTGTGTGTTTCCCTGAGGAATGAAGGACTGAGCTCCTAGAGAGTACTGTAAGGGCTGGCCTGTTTCATAGAATGCACAATCCTCAGAGCCCCTGCTTCCCGGTGTCCGATGTGCAGACCCTTGATATACCTCTGTGACTAGGGGCCGGAGGGGCTGCTCAGCAGCCTGGGGTAGGCAATGGGCTACAATCACACAGCCAGGGTCTAGATCTCAAACCACTCACACTCCAGAGTATTTAACATCTCCCATTTACATAAAGTGTAAAAAGTTAAAAAAAAAAAAATTACAAAACAGGGCCTGGCCCAGGGTAAGCATGCTGTAATCTCCCAAGCCAAGCCAGCAGCTTCCACAGAGTCAATCTCCACTCATGACATGCCCCCGTGGGCAGGGCAGAACTTCCCACTAGGGTTTTCAAGACGAGGCCCTTTCAGAAGCAATGCCAAGCTTTTCTTTCGAGGCATCTTGGGGGAAGGGGAGGCTTTCCGTGGCACACATAACCATCTGCACCACCATCCATGGCAAAGAGGAGACTCTCTGCTCCCATTAGGAACCCTACATACAGTCACTATGAATCAGAACTGAGTCAATGGC